TCTATAAATAGAATATACCAAATTAGGCAGAGGCAGAGCATGAGAGCTGCTGGAAAGGAACAAAAGGCTCAATACATGGACTGTGGTTTAGGAGTCACCTGCCCATGAAGCTGAAGCCCAAGTCCAAGTCCTTCAAATCACATCACTTTGCCTGTTTCTAACATTACTCCTCTCATGCTAAAGCACCTATTTGGAATAAGCTTTGACACACCTCAGAGGGCAGGGAATAAGTACATTTTCTTAGCCAGTGGCTGTGAAGGCTTTGCTCAGAGCCACACAGTCAGAAGTCAATTTATATTTTAAAACAAGGTTTGAGATGCCCTGCAGCCAGCCAGCAAGAAGGCAGGCAGTGAGGAGATAAACTGCAGAGGAGCTGAGGTAAGAAAAAGAGGGGAAAAGAAGAGAAAGGGAGATTTTTCAGCTGGCATAATAACAGGCACACTTGGGGAAACGGGACTGCACCTGCCTGTTTTTTTCATGTAGCAGAAGATAAGGGGAGAAGAGAAAACAAGAGCTCTCCCCTTCAGGGAGAGAAGAGCTGGCATACTCCAGTGGAGAGGCCAGTTGTGGTTTGGAAGAGAAGGAGCATAATTAATGAGGTTTGTAAGGCTGTCTGCACTTTTGCTGGGCTATACAGTCAGCTGCACTCCTCTGGCCATTAAAGACTAAGGAATACTATTTCTCCAGCTTGTCACGTGGACCTCCCATTTCTTTTTCAGAAGTCCCAAAGCAAACTGTGTGCAGAAGCTTTTGCCTCCATGGCAGACTGCTGCTAGGGCCAGGGCCACCACTGATGTCACTGATTTAACCCAGCCATCAACGAGCCCAAACAAGCTCACTCACTGTACCTGCAACGGGACTGGGGAGGGAATTAGAAGGGTAATGGGACGAGATAAATACAGTTTAATAAGGAAGGAAAAACCACACACACAAGGAAAGCAAAACAAGGAATTCATTCACCCTGGGCAGGCAGGTGTTCAGCCATGCCCAGAAAGCTGAGCTCCATCAAGGTGGCTTGGGAAGACAAAGGCCATCACTCTGAACACGGCCCCTTCCTCCTTCTCCCCCAGCTCTGCTTGCTGACCCTGACACCACATGGTCTGGAATATCCCTCTGGTCAGTTGGGATCAGCTCTCCCAGCTGTGTCTCCTCCCAAATCCTTGTGGATCCCCTCACTGGCAGAGCAGTGTGAGAAGCAGGAAAGAACTTGATGCTGTGCAAGTTGTCTTCAGCAATAAAAAAAAATACGTAGTTTATCTAGATTGTTTTCAGCACAGGGCCAAAACAGCCCTATCCAGTAGCCTAGCTGCTCTGAAGAAAATGAACTTTACAGCAGCCAAACCCAGGTGATACGTGCTGGTGGATGGCAGGGTGCACCTTGCAGGACACAGGTCCCTAAAGCTCCTTCACAGCAAGGATTAGTTTCTGTCCTCTTAATGGGCTCAAGAACTCCTAATCCCAGTTTTGTGCTGCCGGCTGGCTTGCCCTCCTCACGGAGCTTCCCCAGGAAGGAGAGGCGGCTGGGGGGAGCGCCTGCCACCCTGCCTGGTTGGAAAAGTGCTTGGCCAGTGGCTGCCAGTGCCCAGCTGATGACACTGTGTCCCAGGCAGGCTGCCCAGCTGGAGGAGAAGGCGATTCACCCGTGCCTGGCTGGAAAAGCCTACATGCCTTTTTTGGCCAAATGGCTTTTCTCTGGCATTTATATGTAATAGTGTTTTTACCCGATCCTCCTGGGGGCATGACTTCTTCTGAAGTAGTTGCAGTTTTGCTCAGACCAACAGAAGTTGTTGGGCCCATCTGGACAGCTTTGTCAAAGGTCGGAGGGGCAAAGACAAGCCAGAGAGATGGAGGGCTTGAATTTGCCAGCACTTGTGCTGGCTTTGACATGGTCTGCGCCATCCCAGGTGTTCTGCCACACCACCATAAGACCTGAGTCTAGGTTTTGCCTCTGAATGAAATGTAGACAAAGTGCTGCTTCTATTTATTGTTGTCTGTTTTTGTTGTCTTGTGAAGAATGTGGTGCTAACAAGGGACTCTTCATCTTCTACTTTAATGCTACTTGAAAAGTGAAGTTCAAACCCACCCTACATAAGAGTCTTTGTTTAAGTAATTTTAAGGTGATATGGTTAAAAGTACTTAAAAGTGTATTCCTTCACTCCACTTTGCTTGCTGAGGGGGTCAGTGCCAAGAGCAGTTGAAAATCCCACCAAGACATTTTATAGGAGTGGCACCCCTTGTTTCTTCCACAGAGAAAGGAGTTCCACAGATGTGCAAGGAAATAGCAAAACACCCACTTTAACTGCTGCCAGCAGAAAGCAAGGAGATTAAAGCTTTAAATAGCAGCATAATTTCTTGGCCATCAACTGATCTTGTAAAAAGCAGGGCAGATATTTCAATATACTTCACTATCAGAGCAAGCCAGAGTTGGAAACAGCTTCCGTTCTTTTTTCCTTTCTCTGATTCTGATGTTTAATCTGTGAGACAGACAGATTTTATATCCAGATTGACAAATGACAGAGAGAAAGAGAGAGAGGTGGAAAGGTGAGGAACTTTGTCCCAGGTTTCAGAAGCAGAGTTGGGGTGTGCAGGCATGGCTGTGTGACACCTCAGGTGTGAGATGGAGGCGAAGTGACATGAAGGGAAGGTCTGGGTGGAGGAGAGGTGTAGATCATACAGATAATGCAAGGATCGAATCATACACATTGTGCAACACTTGGGTGCTACCTGCATGCAGGGAGCACTGAGTCACACAGCTTATCTCAGAACAGAGCTGTCATCAGCAGGATCTTGCATTTTTCTGGGGACTATTTTTTCTGTCACAAGTTCTCAGCAAACTAACTGGTTTGTTAGAGCCAAACCAGCCATTTGCTGGTTTGTTAGAGGCCTAGAACAGATGTAAAATAGAGCAGTGTGCTCCAGGAGGGAAACCAGAGGAAGGAAAAAAAATGTCACCATTTCCTTTTAGAGAGTTGCATTCAGTATCCAGCTGGAACAGTGGGAGCACCATTGCTGTGGGGTTTCCAAATCCAGGAGCTGCTGTGTATCCATGCATGCTGTGGGAACCAGTGGTACACTGCCAGGACATTAAATTCAATTCCCTAATGAGCTCTCAGCTGCTATCAAGATCCAGCAACCCCAGAAAACTCAATTTTGCAAGGATCTGCAGAGAAATGGGCAGGTCTGGTTTGGTTTCTTGATCATGCCTTGGGTAAAGAGCAGGCCAGGAGTGTCTCAGAATAATAAGTATGCATCAACACACACAAAGTTGAAGCAAATGCAATTACGTATGGAGGATTTTGCAGAGCTGAGACTAACACTGGGTCGCTGCAGGTTCATGAGGGAAGCTGTGGGCAGCCTAAAACCTTTGCAGGTGGCTCTTATAACCATACCCTCCTGGCTGTGCTGGGACAAGGGTACCACACAGAAAGTTTGCTCTTCAGCACTGGTGTGAGCACAGCGCCCTGCAGAGAAATGCTTCTTGCTGGCAGCCCATGATGAAAATTGCTTCCTGGCTTCTTTGTGACACTGCTCAAATTCCCAGTGAGTTTCAGGGAATATGCACTTACTGTCATGCTGTTTCTGTGTCAAAATTACTCAGCAGTGTGTTTAAAATGTGGTTATGATAGAGCATTATTATACTTATGGGTTTTACTTGCTACTCAGCCATGTATTTCACAGCCACAATGGTGTATCTATAATCTATAATATATGTAATAATATATAATAACATATAAATGGGTAATATCAGTATCAATTATATTACCCATTACTCGTGGCATTAAACACATCTCTGTAATGAAAAATTACTTAGTGATATAATATTATTATAATATTAAAAATTATAATATAAAATATTAAAGTCATAATATTATATCACTATAAAATTAGTGATATTATTATTTCATGGTAGCTGGGGAGTACCAAAGCCCACTGAAGCTTTAGCACAGGCTGTAAAGACTCCTGGAGGATAAATCAGGCTTAGTGTTTTGTTACTATGACATAGACCCAAAGCAAAGCATGTACCACGGATACTGGGGGGCGTCTATTGAACCTGTAGACCAGAAGGTCAACCTTTTAGCATTTCAAGGGAAATGTAAAAGATATCAACAATTAAATAAATAGTCCTTCATAATTATGAGTGAGGGAATGTATTGTGTGATAGCCAAGCTGTTGTGGCTGTCACAAGAGTTTATAGAATGTTAATTTGCTCTGATATTATCTTTTTTCCACCCCACTGTATTTTAACAGGTCATCAGAAACTGTGTCTCAGAATCTGAGGGGTTAATGCTCCTGAGTGCCCTGATAAGCCCTGACCCCCACTTTGGGGCTGCCACAGTTCTGGGAGTCCTACTGAGCCCAGGCTCCCCTCAGGAATGGGTGTCCCAGCCCTAGGGGTGCTGCAAAGTTTAAGAGACCCCCTAAGAAAAGAGAGCATCCTGCCTGGGGGTGTCCCAGGGCTCCTGCCCAGGAAAAAGGGTCCTGTGAGGGTCCGAGGCCACACTGCTGCCACCCCAAGGGGCAACACTTGGCCGTGCCGCGGCCACCTTGTCCCTGTGGAAGCCACCACCACGCCCCAGCAGTGCCCCAGCCCTGTCCCCTTCCAGCAGCTGTCCCCGTCCCTAAACCCCAGACTCCTCCAGCCCCGGATCGAAGGCTCCCAGCCCTGCAGCGCCCTGGTGCGGGCAGAGAGCGCTCAGGAGCCGCGTTTATTCTCCCGCAATAGGAGTTTATTAACAGAGACGGGTACAAACGGTCCTAACAGCAGTCAAACGCAAAAAAAAAAAAAATCATAACAATAAACAAGCAAAAAAATAATCATATCAATAAGCAAAACTTCATAACAATGGACAATAATTATTTCTAGCAATAAACAAACGCAAACACAATCGTAACGCTAAATACCACCCAAGATCCATCCGAACAAACCAGCCCAAGCCGAGGTGCATCCCCGGCCAAGGGAGCCCTTCCTCCAGCCCCAGCTCCGGCGTTCCCCCGAGCGCTCACGGGTCCCGCCCGCGCTTGAAAAGCGCCCGGCGGCCGCGCTGTCTCTGCCTGCGGAACCTGTGCAGCTCCTCCCTGAAAGCCGGGTCCTGCATGGGCCGATAGTCCCGGGGCTCGCAGTGGTCCTGCAAGCCACGGCTCCGTCAGCCCCCGCAGCAAAGCCCCCGGCCCACGGCACCCGTCCCGGGCCAAAGCCAGCGCCCCCGGCCCGGAGATGCCCTCCCATGGCAGGGAAGGGGCTCGGAGCAGCGCCGCCCCTCCCCACTGCCCTGCGCCCCCCGCCCCAGTTCCTCCTGGGGATACCTGGGGACACCGGCAGGGGACTCACCGGGAACTGGAAGAAGAACTCGCGGTACCCGCCGTTCAAGACGTAGAGCTCGGGGTAGTGCAGCTGCGGGTACCTGTGGCAGGAGCGATCCCTCTCCCGCAGGAATTTGCACCTGTGGCCGGGCAAAGCCCACAGCATCAGCCCTGTGCGGGGGCCCCGGCCTGCCCGGGGGGCTGGGACATCCCTGTGTGCCCCCCGTGCCCTCACTCACATTTTGGGCCCCCGCTCAACAGAGAACTCGCAGTGGAAGATGACGATCACCCTCTTGCCGGCGTCCTGGGCCACGATGGGCTGCTCCAGCAGGGATTTCTCCACGTCCCGCTGCAGCGGCAGGTTGACAGCGCCCTGGGTGGGGAGACACAGGCGCCTTTTTCCCCCTCTGCCTCCAGTTTCGTTTTCTGCAGGGGTCCAAGGACGCTGCCACTCCCCTCCTTTTCCCCCCACCATCATGCTTCTCTTTCCAACTGGGAATCAATCCTTTAGCGGGTTGCCACGGTGTGTTCCAGGGGCTGCTCTGCCCCTTCGGGCGGCTCTGGACCCTTCATGGGGGGGCTGTTCAACCCCTCCGGGGGGTCAGAGGGGCTCTGGTGGGGCTGCTTCACTTCTGAGAGTATCTTTGGAGTTGCCGCTTTATCTCTCGGACGCCACTCCATGGAATCCCGGGGTATCCAGAATCCTCCGCTCAACCTCTGGTGGTGAGCTCGTGGGGCTCGGACACCTCCCTTCCCTCCCAGCCCCGGGGCAGCTCTGACCTTGATGTGGCCCCCCTGGTACTCGTAAGGGTAGCGGCAGTCCACGACCACGCTGCGCTCGACGAAGCTGCTGTAGCGCCCCGTCAGCACCTTCTCCAGCTGCGGGGGGAGTGCATCACCAAGGGGGAACACACGGGGCCCGGGGGGGGAACAGGAAGGCAGCCCCTCGGGGGGCTGCGGAAGGATCGCTGTCCCCTTACCGTGTCAGGAGAGATGTACTTCAGGCTCGGATCCTTCCCCTCCACCGTCGGCAGGAGGTAAGGCTGGAGGAGACACGTCTTGGGCTCATCGCCGTCCCAGGGCCGCCTCCCGGGGCAGCTGTCCCCCCAGCCCCGGAGCCCCCCGTGGCCGGTTCTGCAGCCCCGGGCGGGGAAGGGGCATGTGCCACATACACATGCCTGTGGCACGGAACGGAGCAGAGGAGCAGTGATTGGGCTCTTCACCCGCTGCAGGCTGGGCAAGTCACAGCCCCAAGACCCTGTGTCCACAAGCAAGGGCCACCAGCTTGCTTTGGGCTCTCTTTGGCGGCACTGTGGGGCTCCGATGGTAGTCCCTGCTCAGAATAACGGGGGCAGCGCCCCCAGAGCTGCCCCATCCTCGTGGCCCTACCTTGGAGAAGTCCCCAATGAGCTCCTGGTCATCGTTGGCCATCAGGTTCTCGATCTCCTGGAGCTGGGCAGACCCACAAGGCTCCAGCCACACTCCCTGCAGAGGCACCAACCAAGACACCCCCAGATGTCAGCAGGGGCTCTGGCACAGCTAGACAGTGGCCCAGTTCTGCCAGGAACAGGCTGGCTCTCCCCCGACACCTTCCCCATCACCCACCGGCTCCAGGGATGCCTCCTGCTGAGGGCTGCCGGCCACACTCCTCTGCCGCTTGGCCTCGGAAGGGCTGTCCCTGTCCGAGGGCCATCTCCGCTTCGGGACTGGCCCGGGGACACTGCCGGGCACCGAGGGCGCACGGAAGAGCTGCCGGCGCTGGTCCGGCTTCCCCGGATGCTGTGGAAAGAGCCCGCGCTGTTGCCTGGGGGTCTGGCAGGGCTGGTGCTGTTCACCAACCAGTCCCCGCCTCAGCGTCCTTCGGCCCCAGACCCCTCTTCGGACACGCCGAGAAGGGACTGTGGGGCTCCATCCACTGCCAAAAGTGGCCACGTACCAGCATTGCCTCCTCCTTCTTTATCACTGGCGTGGTCACCGGCTTCTCCATTCCCTGGGGCACGGTGGAATCACGGTGCCACGGCAGCACCTGGGGAGACTGGGGGGAGAGGCAGAGATCGTGAAGGGGATAAGTCCTGCCAGCTGCTTCCCACTCCCAGACAGGGACGAATCCCGTACCCAAGGTCCATCCACCTCTAAGTTCCTTGGAGGTTTGGAGTCACAGTGTGCTCCCCAGCCCGCCCATCTCCCACACGCACACGCCTCCGCGGAGGCTGGAGCTGCCACTTGCTCATCTACCCGTAGCTCCCCTGGAGTGCTCCAGCCTCTCTCACCAGCTCTGGTGTGCCGCCTGGGCGCTTGGCAAACAGGTCCCTCCTGGCAGTCCCGTGGCCGGCGGGCAGCTTCTGCAGCTTCTGGCCCAGCTTCTGCAGCTTCTTGGGGACAAAGCCCTCCTGCAGCGGGGGGGACACGGCGTCAGCATCCCTGTGCCCCCTCCCTGACCCCCCAGGTCTTGCCGCGCCCCTCACCTCATCTTCGGGCTCGTCCTGCCACCGCCGCACTCTGTCCCTGCTCATCTGGAGCTGGGAGATGGTCTTCCGCACCGGGCTGGCTTCCAGCTGCCACTGCTGTGGGACAGCCAGGGTGTGAGCAGTCCTGCACAGCCCTGCCTCCTCTCCTGGCTTCATCCTCCTCATCTCGGCTCGGCTGGAGAATCGGCAGGATCCTGCACAGCCTCCAGCACTCACCGGCAAGGAGCGGATTCTATGGCGAAGGAGCTTCCTGCTGCAAGAGCCGGGAGAGGAAAGAATCGAATGACTGCAGGTGTCCCGGACTGCTGTGTCCCACTCCTCTGCCATTGTCACCTCCATCCTCTGTGTCCTCAGGGTGGAGTAAGACTCCCTCCCCCCCAAGGGCTGTCAGAGCTCCCCAAAGGGACCTGGGACAAAAGCACTTCCAGGCACTGAGCGAACACCGTCAGCCTGAGTTGGACCCCAGGAGGGTCACTGGCACAGCCTGGCTTTTGGGTCTGGGACAGGGACAGCCTGGGCACGTGGACAGCCTGGCATTCCCGTCCTGCCCCAGGGACAGAGCCCCTTCATGTACTCTTTGAGAGCACTGCCAGACTCCGCGATGGTTTTCTGGAAGCAGCGGGGAGAGCAGAGATGGGATTTACAGGGAATGCCGTCCGCGTCCCCGCCCAAGCAGCCCAGGTTGTCAGCCCCCAGACACAGACTGGAGGTCACCGCCGGATGCGCAGCCCCCAGCCGGGCTGAGACCGGGCCCTGCTGCTCGGGAGAGGCAGGGCAGGGAAAGGGGCCTGGGGGACACGGGGATGGGGCCACTCACTCTTCTTGCACGGCTGCGGAGCTCTGCCACGTGTGGGAGTCCGGACCCGATCCTGCGGGGGGAACAAGAGACAGGGGTAGCCCCGGTGTGGAGATCGGGTCCCGGCCCCATCCCGGGGCCCCGGGCAGGACGGGACCGGGCCGGGAGCTGCCCGGCAGACGGGTGGCAGCGCCGTTGGGAGCAGCGGTGCCGCACGGAATGTCGCGTGTCACCCTGAGCGGGGACCCCAGCGGATCGGTTCCTGACTGAGCCCCAGGCAGTGCAGTGTCCGCTCCTGCCCAGCGCTCCCCACAAGCTGCCCCGCCTCGACCGCCTCGTCCAAGCCCTGCCGAGACACCCCCGAGCCCCCTCCGACACCCTCGGCACGACCCCGGGGCTGGGGCCGGTTGCGGACAGCTGCGGGGCGGAGCAACCGCATCCCTCACCTGCATCCGTGGGCTGCGGGGAGAGCGAGTCCCGGGAAGCCACCGGCTGCGGGGCCAGCGAGTGCCAGAGCCGCGGGAGGGGCGGCCTCCCGTGCCGCCTCCTCGGGGTGTCCCGGTGCCTGCGGGCGGTCGGGTCGGGTCAGTGCCCCGGGTGCCCCGAGCCCCTTGCTGCCCTGGCGGGTCGGGGGCCGGAGCTGAAGGAGGGCATCCCAAAAGGCACGGCCCCACACGGCCGTGTCCCGCCCGAGGAATCTCACGCGGGGCGGGCGGACAAAGCCAGCCCGCGGCCCCGCGCACCCCCTCACCTGTCCGGGCCCGCCGGCTCAGCCCTGTCCAGCGGCGTGAGCGGGGCCGTGCCCGGGGACGCCAGCGGGGACACGGCCACCATCAGCCCGGGCAGCCCGCGGCCGCCGCGCAGGGACATGGCCCGAGCAGGGAGCGAGCGAGCGAGGCTCGAGCCCCGGCAATGACCGGGGTTAGGGGACAAGAGATGACAAGAAGAGGTGAAAAAAGATGACGGGTGACAGGGGGAAGTTGGAAAGAGGCGGTGAGAGGCAATAAAAGGTGACCAGAGGTGACCAGCGGTGACCAGAGGTGACCAGCGGTGACAGGTGACACCGCTTCTCTCCTGTTTACAGCAATAACAACAGCGGCACCCGCAGCCAATGAGAGGTCGCGGCGGGCACGAGGGGACGCCGCCGGCCAATGGGAGGCCGCGGAGGGCGCGAGGGGGACGCCCGCCGGCCAATGGGAGGCCGCGGAGGGCGCGAGGGGGACGCCCGCCGGCCAATGGGAGGCGCGCGGGGCGCTTGGGGGCGGAGCCCCAGCCGAGGGGGCGGTTTCGGCGCGGGAACGGGGCGGGGCCAAGCCTGGTCCCTGAGGGGACGCTCGGTCGGCCCTCGCGGCTGTCGTGTGCCACCTACAAAACAGTGAAAACATGCCCTGACAGCACCCACCCAGTGCCACGTCCGGCCGCACGAAAGCAAGGCTGAAATTCCAGAGGTTGGGTTTTTATTGGTGGAGTTTCTGTTTTTATAGGCGCTTGTGAGTGGCCTGCTCCATTTACCTCTTATTTCTGTATTAAACATAACCAAAATTCCTTCATTGCCACTTTTGCTTAAGGACACTTGCTTTCTTTGCTCTTGCTGTTGAATCCCTGGTGTTTTATTTCCTGTATGGCTCCTCACGGATGTGCCCAAACAGTTGCAATTTTAATAGAGGTAAAAATCGTAATCTAGAACTAATCCCAAGCATTTGATTTGACTATGCCTCCCTTTTCTCTCAGCTGGAGATGAAACCTGCCCAAACACTCCATGGGTGTTTGGAAGGCACTTGTTGCACTGGTGAGAGGCAACAGCTCTGACACAACCCTGCAGAAAGCACCGCTTCCTCCTGCTCATGCCGAATTCCATGTGTTTCTGAATATATGCATGTATTTATATATACATTAGAAATTCTGAGAAAGCTGTGTCACTCCAGTGACATTTTATGCTATTCAAGTATTGTCACCTGCTACTTTTAAAACATTTTAAGAGCTTAATGGAGAATCCGATGAAAACTCAAATTGCAGGTGATTTCAGATCAAGGCCTTTTTTTTTTGTCCCCTTTTGTGCAGTCATTTCTTTTGTGACCAGTAAATGGCATTTCTGTTTTCTGCTTTTAACTGCTCAGTCCCGAGGGCAAAATTAGGTGGTCTTCCTGGTACCCCAGAACCCCCTTTATTATTCCCTCCCCACCTTTGATTTTAGATGTGCTCATTCTCCCAGATGTACTGCAGCCCTCCTACAGAAGAGATGGGAACTAACACACAGTTTCAGGACCTGCCAGTTAATCTGGGCACAATAAATTTCAGTGACTTACATCTTCCTCTGCAAGCTGCCTTTCAGCACAGCAGCAGTCCAAAAGTTAGATTTGCTCTTGGTCAGCTACGATGCGGCTTTGAAATACAAAGGAAAAGGGGCAAAAAAAAAAATAGCAGGGTCTCAGTGAGCTTGTGAAGACCTTCGTGGAGCGTCACCAACATATAAAGAAAGAGGGATTGGGCACTGGAAGTTGCTGCCCAGGGAGGTGGTAGAGTCACTGTTGCAGGAGGTGTTTAAGAAAGGCTGGATGTTGCACCAAGTGACATGCTCTGTTTGACAAGGTGGTGTTCAGTCACAGCTTGGACCTGATGATCTCAAAGGTCTTTCCCAACCTAGCTGATCCTGCAATTCTGTATTTTGTAGTGATTTTTTTGGAAATGTTAGATTCAATTTAAATACGCCAACGTTTGTGGTTCTTTTCTTTATTTCTAGGCTTTCTTCTGCCTGACACCAGAAGTGCTAAATGAAAAGCCAGGAAGGGCACGGTGCATCCTTAAAAACTTTATTGGAGTGGCACGGTGCAGACTGCAAGTACAGTCACGAGTCTAAGTATCCCCAACTTCAGTCCCTGCGCCATCCCTGCCCGCAGACCCTGGGCTTTGCTGCTAGCAGCCACCTCTGCCAGCCCACAGCAGAGCTGGACGCGTGTCAGGAGGTGCAGAAGGACATCCTGACACCCACGGCAGTGGCAGCAGCCCAGGGCTGCGGCAGCCGACCCGCGAGAGGCGCCTGGCCGTGCCTGACCTCGCAGGGAACAGAGAAACGGGGCTTTGCTCCTGCAGCAACACCTTCAGCCCCATCTCTGAGGTCCCTGCTGGAGTGCCAGGAACAGGAGGACTAGAAACAGTGCAAAATAAGGTAAAAAGGAGCCCGGCCCTGGACCTGAGCTTTGATCTTGCTGAGGCTTGTTTCCCTCCTCTCCTTCCCCACCCTTTCAGTTGGTAGCTGTTACATTTTTAATTTGTCCAGTCCAGGAGACTCCTGAAATTATGAGATAACAGTACAGATAAAATTGGAAACAATGGTAATAATAATAATTAAAACAAAAGTTCTGCCCTAGTGTGTTGTAACTACTGCTAAAGGCAGCATCCCAAACACCAGCTTGATGTCCAGACGTGCTGGAAGAAGCGGCTCATCCCCATTTTCTCACTCTTTAGCCACCCCTCAGCTGGCCTGCAGCTTCCCACCAGGAACTGGCCTGAGCAGAAGGCTGCAAAGCCCAGCTAAGGGTAACTAAAGCTCACTATATTCCAGAATACTTAATGCATCCACTGCAACATTAAAAAATGCTAGCACATATGAACTCTTCAGAGATTTACAGGCACTATGTGAAGATTATGTGCAAAAGTCTGCATATAGATTTTTCTTTTTTTTTTTTGTGCAAAAGTCTGCATATAGATTTTTCTTTTTTTTTTT